CACTTAACCACAAAATAGGCAAAGTCTCCTTCAAATTAAGTAGAAAAGCTACAGTTTCAGGAAACATTGATCTAAGATCTTTTTATTTTTTTAAAAAAGGTAAAATTAAGGGATTATTTATCATTATGAACTGCAAACTTCAGTCAACAGCTGCATTAGAAAGCATGAAAAGTAAGATTTTACTCAACTGCCCAATATTTATAATAATTCGGAAAATGAAGATTAGATAAAAGATGCAATCTGGTTCCATATGGTCAAATGTAACATAGTAGAATATTTCTAAAATGATATAACCAGGAGAAAAGTTTATAATATGATTAAATTCTACCCTGCACACATACTCAGTAGATCATTATAAAAGCTAACAGTGGAACATGCTTGACAATTAATTTCTGTAGAAGAGCCGTAGTCTTGAATATGTATAAGCTAATTTCCATGTAAATATTAACATCTCTATAAATGAGTATCTCTTAAAAGGGTGAAATCAAACAGCAAGTGCCAACAAGTTTGCAGGTAACAGAACATCTTTCTTGATCATTTGCTTCATTTATGTTCTAGGCACTTACAATTACACATAGATATGCAACAGCAGCAGAACACTGTAAAATAAAAGAAAAACTTGTTGCTATTTTTAATATATGTTAAATTTTCTTAATAACTGGCTTGAAATAATATAAAGATGACACATTAAAGCACTGCAGTGTTTAAGGCACCTTAATTTGATTTATTGTCTAAAATGTGCATCTTACATAGTCATTAATCTCAAGGTGGCTCTAATCACAAGGCTGCAGAGAATATTTAGAAAGAGCACACTTCCTTGCATCCCCAGCATTTTTTAAATGGCAGTAGTCTACCTTCCTTCTTGGTCAAGAGGGGAAAAGAGGAAGAGAGAAAGGGAAAAAGGGACTTCTCTGTAGAAAGATTTGGCCTTGGAGGGCTTTTGAGATGGGCTAGGGATCTTGGATCGGTGCCTTTTTATTTTCTTTCAGGAATAAATCTGAGCAATGGAATGGCTGGCGATTGCCTGGCCAACCAGCCATATCAGATTTATCAAAAAGAAAGAATGAAAACTGGCTCAGAGGACTCCTGCAGTGGCTGAGTGGCAGCTTCCTGGTAAAGACACACACAAAGAGAATACCCTTAGTGATGGAGGAGAAAATATATATTCACATGTGTAAATTGAATAAACAATAAGATGTAAAGAAAGAATCTATAGCAATAGAAAGGGTGAATGCAGAAGACAGATGATAAATAGTACTTCTATTTAAGAACCAAAGGGAAGAAAGCTCATGAATACTAAATGTTTGAATCCACTTTAAGGAGGAAATATGATTTTCTCAAATAAATGCAAACTCTAAAAATCAGCCAATGCAAACTTACTGCGTTCAGGTTAGAGTAAAAAATACGTAAATCCTCCATGAAGTGCATGCCCGGGTAAATATTCTAATGTAATTTCTTAATTAAGACAGATTTCCAGTGACTAAATGAAAATATATATAAAGCAGTTAAGTGCCTTGATTTTCAAAAATTTTGACTTTCTATGCCTGCGTGATTAAAATAAATAAAAGCAGTTTGGTTTAAGAAAAAAAATCAGACAACAAGGGATCATGACACAACCAGAGTCATTCAATTTTATCGTAACAGTCCATATTATAGTATTTTCAAGTGTTTTATAGTTATAGTAATAGGTATAAATTTATTTAGAAGCATTCTGAAGAAAAAAATATCTTCTAAAAAGGCCCTTTTACATATATAAGAACTTCAAAATTCAGAAAAAAAAGGAAAGTACCCATGGGTGTGCTTACAGCAAACACGTGTAGGAAAGAGGATTGATGGTTTTTTGAAAATACATTTAATATAGTTTTCATCACTTACTAAGTTTTATTAACCTTTTCCTTCTCAAATGTAAAAAACCCTAAGTTTGGAGGCATATTTTAAATATATAGGAAAAAATGTATGTTCCTTTATAGGATGAAAAGCAGAACTAAGTTATCTGCAAATAAGAAATGGAAGCTGAACTTGATCATCACATATCTGTTAAGGTTTGTAAGAGTATCACCTCAATACTACTATGTATTTCATTCTAATACAAAGGTGAGATTGATTATTTTTCAATCACTCCAGGAAGACAGAAATTTTGGAACTAGTCCTTTTGGTGGTAAAGTCTTTATAATTGTCATTATAAAGGGCCTTTGGCTATAATAGTTCTAGATAAAATGAATCACTAGAAATGAGACAAACTGCTTCAGAATTACTAAAAGATCATCTTCTCTAAAGCTGATTTTTTTTCAAACAAAAGAAGAAAAAATCAAAACAGGTCCTCTTCCTTTACAATTATTTTAAGAAATATCTTAGATCTAGACAACCGAATCCCCCCTATATTTTTATTCTGTTCACATAGAGCAGTAAATAAGGTGCATTCCTTCTGCTTAAGAAATTAGCATTTCAAAAATATGCCACTTTCCCCTGAACTCCAAGCGTGTCTAATAATGTGAGAAGCAGATTGTCTTCCCTCGTTTCCTTAATTTGTTTCATCTAAAAGCAATTCACTCAACATCTTGTCGCCCTCTGGCAGCTTAGTTTACTTATCCGCACTTAATTTCTCATTTGGACCAAAACAAACTCCTGCAAACTGCTACTGACTGCTAACCGCGAGAGGGGAGACACGCAATATGTATTTACTTGGGAACATACAGACACACAAACACAGCCACACACACACACAGAGCCTCACTCATACACCAGTCACTTGGTTTTATAAAAGCACAACATTAAAACCCGCGGAACTTCCCCCGCCAGGTGCCGGGGTTGGGGCGGGGTAGGAGTGGGTAGGATGAAAAAAGAAGTCCCCGGGGGCATTTACAGTTTGCAGCGGATCTCCTTAGCCTGCGAGCTGCAGTTACACCAGGGATGCGCGCGAGAGCTCTTCGTTGTGCGGCCCTTTCATCTAGATCACTTTGTGTTTGGAACCAGGGAGGCTCGCCTTTGTGCCCCCAGAATTTCAAGTGCACAGCCACACACGGGACAACAATAGCACGCTAATCCTCGCGCTCTAAATGGGCTCAATTGTGGGTCTGACAATTCGCGGGGGTAAGCGAGAAGAGACGAGCGAGGGCGCGAGCCGGTGTCGCCTGAGACGAGGAAGGGGACAGCTGCAGAACTAATTTGGATTACACCCCTCGCAGAAATTCTGAAAAGGGCTTTTCGGCATAGCTCAACCTCGAGCCGCACAGTTAAGCCCAAATTGCTGCGGACTCGGAGCCGGGTCCCCCAGCGGCTGAGGCTGAACCAGACAGCCCCCAGTAGGTCGCCTCGTAGAAATTCCTCTCGGCTAAGCCTGCCTGTCAGTCGCCGCTGCTTTTGAATGGGTCAATGTGCATAATCAACCCATTGAGGGCAAATATGAAGGGACCTGGGGTAGGGAGGGGGATAAAAAGGGATGTAGCTAAGAGGCCGCTTGGAATCTCGAGTCCGTGTTGGTGTCAGTCCGGAGGTGGCCGGACCGCGGGACCCGGTATGCATGAAGAATTTCGGGGTAATTGGGAGGGTGCAAACGGCCAGAACAAACAGCGCGCATTGTGCCATTCGAAGGTCATTCTGAAAGACTCGGTGATTGTAACTTGTTATTTACTAGGCAAGGAGGGGGCGGCGGCGGCGGGGGCGGAGCGGCCAACTACAGCGCGCTGTTTTCTTGGTGAGGTCAGCAGGACACCCTCCGGGGGCCTGAAGCTCTCCTATCTACACTCCCGGGAGCTTTATCTCCCCTAGCTGCCTCCCACGCTCCCGCGACCAGCCCTGGATGGCTCCGGAAATCTCTCCGGCTCTCCAAAAGGCCCCCCTGGCCGCGTGAGACACCGCTTCTCCTCCGTCCTTTCCTGTCCCATGTTCATCCCCAGGAAACTCAAGTGTCAGAAACTTGGAGCTCCCTCGCACTGCAGGCGCTGTCACTAGCCCTGCGCGGCGCGGAGCGCCGGCCCCACTGCGCTGCCTCCCCGGGGTCAACTGGCCGTCTGCCTGTCCGGGTCACCGGCGCGCAGGCTCTCCAGCAAACAGTGGCCGCGCACCCGGCGCAGCCACGCCCGCCTGGGGTTCAATCAATCCGCGCGACGGGTCGGCTCGGCAGCCACGCCGGGCAGTAAACAGAGAAGTTGGAGGGACTCCGGCCAATAGCAAGTTGAACTACAGGAAGAACTCTTCCTGGTGCCAAACACAGCAACCGACGGGAAGGCCGGGCTCCCGGCTCAAGTATGTCAAGCCTTTTTTTTTTTTTTTTTTAAGGAGTCAGGCGGCCAAGCCAGCTCCCCTCCAGTCAATGGGGCGAGGGCTGCGGGACGCCGGCCGAGGAGGCCCAGAGTTCCGGGCCCCCGGCCGAGGCGCGCCCGCCGGCCCGCCCGCCGCGCTCCAGCTGCCCAGGCTGGGCTCAAGTCGGGTCTGACCCCGCAAGGCTCGGGCGACTGGGGGCGCGGTGGCCGCCGGCAGCACACACAGGTGCAAAGCCCGGCTCTCGGAGCTCCTCTCCCCACAGCCCTCGCGCTCCTAAGCAGCCCAGCTGGCAGCGCCCCGGGACCCCGTCCGTCGCGGCCCTGGCAGTGCGCGCCTCTCCGAGGCTTCTCCCTCCGGGGGCGCAGACGGGGAGCGGACCGTCTCCCCTGACTCGGGATTCGGGTCTCCCACGTCCCGCACAAGCGCGCCCAGAGAGATTCCGCTTAGGCTCATAGAAAACGCGCCAGAAAGAAGGGGGTTCGGGAGAGAGAAAAAGGGAGAGGGGCGCAGAGGGATTTTTCACGATCCATAAAACACACGCACAGACAGAGGGTAAGTTTGGGGACAGAAAGAGGGGCGAACGAAAGCCCCAGGATGAGGCCCCGGTGGAGTGGTCCCTCCGCGCCCGGGAGCGAGCGGGTCTCAGGCTGGGCGAAGGGGGCGCGGGCGCTACCAACGCGGCCAAGCCGGCGGCAGCAGGTTCCACCCCGGGAGCGCGACAGGGAACCGCGACCCACCTGACTGAGAAGCGCTGGGCTGGACGGTCCCCGCCGCCACGAGAAGGCTCCCCCAGACCCACAGTCCTGTAGCCAGCTTCATTTTTTGGACGTCTCAGATCCCGTGCTGACAATTACATGTCCAAATGGCATATCCCCTTTCGGGCACGCGGAGGAGAGCCCGCAGCCAGGCGCGCGTGGGGGCGCGAGGGGGACAGGCGCGCGGCGCGCGGGGGACCGGCTCCGAGCGGGGACGCCCGGTCCGCGGGTCCGGGGCCGGGGACCCGAGGAGGGGAGAGTGTGCGCGCGCGTGGGAGGGTGCCCGAGTGTGTGCGCGGGGCGCCCGGGCCGGACTGTGCAGCTATTCCCCGTGTGAGCCTTCGCTGTCTCGCTCCCTCCTCACTTTCTCTCTCTCTCACTGGCTGGTCCACAATAAAAAGGAAGGGGGAAAAAGGTTTCCAAAAAAAGTTGATTGCAAAGAGGCGGTAGGTTTCCGGCCTCTCCCCCCAGCCGCGCTATGTTCGGCTCCCTTTGCAGTGTCCCTGCACCTCCAGTCCAAATTGGGAGGGAAGGGGAGGGGGAAAGCGTCCTGCTTCTCCCCCGATCCTGTCCTTCTTTTTCCTGTCAGCTTGCCTCACACTTGTCCGGCGGCTGCGGTAATTAAAGCTCCGAGCGTCATTTCCAACGCTCCGCGGTCTCCAGCTGCAGCCCCACAGAGAAATTAATAAGGCTCCGGCAGAAAAAAAAGGTGGAGGGGGCGGACAAAACCACCCTCACGCAGCCAGCCTGGCTCGGCTCGGCCGCGCAAACCCCGCCCCCGCTCTGACCCAACTAGCCACGCCCTTTCGCCCGCCCCCCCAAAGGGAAATCTTATTGGCTCAGCCACTCCCCAAAATCCTCGGCCTCAGGAGTTGGGAAAACACCTGTCAGGGAGCCGGAGCAGGGGGGGTGGGGGCGGAGAAGCCGGATTTAAAGGGCTCACCCGAGGCCACAGACTGAAACAGAGGCCCGGGACAGCTGGCCCGCGGAGCGCGCGGACCACCCGAGGGATGCTTGCAGAAAAGATCTTTTTTAAACAAGAAAGTCACCATTTTTTCGTATTGCCCCACGGTGCTCATCCACAGACTGGATTTTCCCTAGAAATAGAAGAAAAGACAACGTTGCTTCCGGCTAAAAGCCTCCCCCCAACTCTCTACCCGCACCCTCCCATTCTCTACGCTCAGAAAGTAGTTTAAAAGCCGGTTCAGTAACTGTGAGCCTCTGCAGATTGGAAGTCCTGATCCCTTTTCTCAGCCTCGCCGGCTCTCCCAGTATTCCCACCATTCCAAACTGACCAACACTGCGTCAGCTGAAAACTCCGCATTTGTAGAGCTGCATCCTTTGATTTTAGACTTGATGAGTCTTTTCACCTTTTCCTTGGACTCGAGGACGACTTGGTTTGGGGTTCATTCTCATTAAGTAGATTCTAGTCCAAATCTACTGATTTGGTTCTAAAGAGCTAGAAATTGTCCCAGGCCTGAGCTATTCAGTCTGAAAGGATTAAGAAGCCCATGTCAGGGATAACCAACCTCAGATGATTAGGCTTCCTCGACAGTGGACCCAGCTCTAGGCTCCTTCCAGGTTTTCACTCTGCAAGGTCACCTCTCCCCAAGCCCCAGGTCATTGCTAGCTGTGGGAGTTTCCGGGCTCTTCTGGATCTAAAATATCCTGGGATTGGGTCATATCTGTGTACATATCCCTCGCCTTTTACAGCTCTGGAACTGTACCCTGGGCAGAGGCCAGAACCTCCTGGGAGGTTGTAGGTTATTGGTTTGCTATTTGCACAGGCATTCTTTGTATGGATTATTTTCCTTTTTCAGTTTCTCTAGAAGCAGCAAATATATAAATGAAGAGTATCAGGGGAACTTAAAAATCAAGCCACCTGCCTCCTCACCCATCATTTGAGACCTTCCCCTTCCTCCTCCACATCTTTTATCTATAGCCTTGTCCCTTAAGAATTTCCAGGAGCTGGGCACAGGGAGAAAAAACAGCCTCCTTCCAGAAGCCCGAAGCCTTCCCTTTCTTAGGCCCACAGCTAGCAGCAGGCAGAGAGAGGAGGCCAAACAGGTTGAGCATGCTGTTTGACCCAGAAGCAGCCTTGGGCCAGGAGAAGCTAAGTCTAGAACAGGTGATGGTGACTTCACCAGAGTGGTACTGATTGCAGCAGAACTGTGCACACTGCTCTTTGGGATTATCTTTGTTTTCTATTTTTATCACCTCGACTCTCTGTTTTCTTTTCTTTCATTCCATTTCTTCTCAGCATCCTTGTCTCAAATCCCCTTCTACTACTTTTAATGAATTTCAGACACCTCTCTTCCATGAAAGCTTCTTCTTTTTAAAATTTCCATTCTGTCCCCAGAATAACAACTTAAGCGGTTCAGGATTAAGTTTCTGTACCAAAAAGAGAAGTCTTGTTTCTGATAACAATTATGTTGCAAGAAGTGAAGAAATAGATTGTGTACTTTAACTTAAAGTTGAGGGAAACATTAAATACTCTGAATATGTTGAGTTTTTTTAAATATATTTGTGTCTGTCGTGATAGCTTTTACTCCTCCACCAATTTTATGGCGATTTTGTTGCTATAAAATTGTGGCGGGAGGGGCTGGCCCAACTGCTTCGGCAGCCCGGGGTTTGCAGGTTCGGATCCCGGGCACAGACTGACACACCACTCACCGAGCCATGCTATGGCGGCGTCCCATATAAAGTAGAGGAAGATGGGCACGGATGTTAGCACAGGGCCAATCTTCCTCAGCAAAAAAGAGGAGGATTGGCAATAGATGTTAGCTCAGGGCTAATCTTCCTCACAGACAAAAAGTAAATAAATAAAAAATAAAATAAATAAAATTTTGTCAGGAACTCTCCTATACACTTTGATCCCATTTTCCTGGTTTTAACTGATTGAAACAATGATTAATACCTGGCCAAATTTGGGTATCTGAGCTGCAGCCTATAAAATGAATTGGCAAGAAAGCTCTACGCCCAAAAAGCATCCTATATTCAATGGTGACTGGTCTACCCAAGCAGAGTCTAGTTCAAATAATTTGAATATGAGACCCTAGAGACTTAGACAGAAGGTGGTATTCTGTGGGGGCAAACTGGAAGTGAAAACGTAGAAGCCATGAGCTAGAGTCAAGAATTAATTCTTTTTGTGTTTGCTCCCATTTGCTTCCCAACATCTAAGGAGGGGACATTTGCCACCTGATGTGGAAAGCACATGCTAACTGGATTGCTAGAGGATTTCTGAGATGGGTCTCTGTATTTCTTCATTTTCCTATCGATCTTTATAATAGATCCCCATCAGTTGAGTTAACTAAAATATGTTGCTGTTATTTGCAACCTGGAAAAAAACACATCTGAGTAACCCATCATGTTACTTAGCAAACCGTAGGTGAATATCTGGAATTATCTGCTCAGTACCCCTTTTCTAGGAACTGTCCTTCCCTCAGTTGTACATCTTTAACTTGGGTCTGCCTCCATGGTACAACAATCCCCACTCCCTTGTTCTAAGTTGGACCAATCAAAATGCCTTCATCACTGATGATTGATTGAGAGATGGTCATTTCTGCTCAGTATCTTCCCTGGGATTTTTGTGTATGGGAAAGAAAGAGTTCATATTCTTTCATTCACTGGTAGCTTTTGAGATCTAAAAGTCCGGAGTTGGCCTGTCTATATTTCCTTCTTTGTAGGGATAACCAGGCTGCGGTGAGAAAGAGTGAAGCTGCCATTTGAAAGGAGCCAAAGCCCAGGAAGGTCTGGAAAAATACTCAAGCTGTTCCTGTTGCTTAGTTGTTCAAACCCCGTTTTTCCTTAAGCTAGTTCAATTTTTGTTTTTGAAACCAGAACTCCTGAAATGGTAAAAGAACTTCTGAAACCAGAACAGCGTGAAGTGGTAAAAGAACTTCTCCAGCCTGAGTGAGCTCATAGAGACCATCACGCCCCTTGAGGAGGATGTCTTGATATGGCCCATGTTCAGTTTCCCTTCCCAGTTTCTCATGACTTCCCTTGGCTGAAGCCAGAACCTCAACAAAGAGATTCCTTTGGCCTTTGCTGCTTCCCCATATCTCCTTCTCCACTTCATTTCTTCCATTAGTGGTAGAATTCAAGGAGAGTCTTGACATCATGAGTGACAGAATGCTACTGGTGAGAGAAAGGAACACATTGATCTCAGAGTTCAATGTTGTGTTGGACACTTAACTTTGCCCAGAGTCTGATAGCTCACTCCAATCTCCTGCTTGTTTCTAAGACTTCCCTAAAGGTAAGATTAGAGCTTGCTGCTTTAGACATTTTGTCATTGGCCATAAGTATAAATTTCCGACAAATATCAACTAAGAAAAGAAAACAACATCCTATTGTAAATCAGTTATCTTCTCCTGAACATTTTAAAATAAATACAGGATTCTAATTTTCCCTCCCTGCCCATCATGATCTCCCTCGTCATCTTTCTAAGTTATCTTGTGATCATGAGAAACTTACTTCATATACCTACACCCATTGCCTTGTCTTTAAAGGAAGGGATTGTTATGTCCCAAATCTAAGACTTCGGGGCCGGCCTGGTGGCACAAGTGGTTGGGTGCGCGCGCTCTGCTGCAGCGGCCCAGGGTTCACTGGTTCGGATCCCATGCATGCACTGACGCACCTCTTGGCAAGCCATGCTGTGGCGACGTCCCATATAAAGTGGAGGAAGATGGGCACGGATGTTAGCCCAGGGCAAGTCTTCCTCAGCAAAAAGAGGAGGATTGGCAGATGTTAGCTCAGGGCTGAACTTCCTCACCAAAAAAAAAAAAAAAACAAACCTAAGACTTCATTAGTCTGATTTACTGATCACCTGCTAAGTGCAAGTCATAATTTTCTCAGACTGTTTCCTATATCCCTTCCTCTTTTTCCCTACCCACCCACACTCACCTCTTCCTCTGGGGCACCAACACAGCCACACCTTAAAATGCTTTAGGAAAATATCCAAATAGGCTCACTATTATGTTACGGTGAAGTGCTTAAGACTTTGAATCTTTACTATTCTATCAGCAGAGAATAAATTTGGGTGAATATCAATCAATTCAGTATTATGATGATCAAGCAGATGAGAGAAACAGTATTGGTGATATTTGTTTTTTTTTTAATTTAGCACTTGAAATAACAGCTTTGCTCTTAACCCTCAGAGTTCTGGAATTTTCAGATATTTTGTTATGTT